CTATACACACACACACACACACACACACACACACACACACACACATATACATATATAACTATTGTATAACCTTACGTAACATTGTTACATAATGTAAGTTACATAATTGTTATATTTAATCTGTATTTGCTAGAAATAGTTAATCAAATAAAGAAAAAGAATATAATGTGATAATTAAGTTGTAATAAGATACTTTTTACTAAAGAAAATATTTTATCTAATATTTTAGTGCGTAGAATATACAAATTTTAATTTTATGAAATACGTGCAGAAATATAATAGTTTATATTTACAAAATTAGTTTAATATTTAATTTAAGGCTTACATAGGTTGACGCCTAGAAAATTTTAAAACCAGATCTATTAATATAGCTGGCAGAATATGCAATAATATTGTCAATATATAGAATTGAACAAAATTATTGGTTAATATTGTATTAGGTGTCCAGACAGTTGCTTCGAAAGGTACATCTTTTATTATAATATCAAGTAATTCCTTTATATCTTGTTCATATGTACTGCGTTGTTGATTTGTACAATTCAAAACAAAAGGTGAAGGACCTGCTGTAGAGCTAACAATAAACAAAACAATAAATTAATTCATATAAGGGCTGATTGTTCCATCTTCAGATAAACTATGTAGTTTAATTTGTCTATTAGATAAATAAAAGAATAAAAAGAGCATAAGAGAGTAAGACAGTAAGATAGTGAGCTGAAATTTATCAAAAAGTGAAACAACTCAGCCTAAATAACATAAATAATAATTAATTAATGTTTATACAAACTTCTAGAAATTTTTTAATGTTAAGTTCATAAAATAAGATAAACTTTTAATAGTATAATTTACAAATATTATTAACACGTTCCACACGGATTACAAGTAATTCATGTTTTCATCATTTGATTCTTTCCATTTAACCCATGATCACTTTAAGAAAGCCACGATAGTTATTCTAGATTAAAATATCTAAAGTGTTACCAAAGCAATAGTATTGGTTCCATTGACTTCAAAAAATTACAGTATATAATTTCATCCTTTAAGAAAATTAAGGGACAATGGCGTTGTGAAAAATTTAATTTTAACACTAAAAAAAAATCGTAAACGTTAACTTGGAAAAAAATGTATATTTTTACTTAAAAAATCATAACTTTTTAAATTTATAATATTTTTTAAATGCAGTAGTCTAATACTCTTATAAGATAATGTATTCTACCTAAAAAAAAAAAAATAGTATGGTTATATGCGTTTGAAAAAAGGTATTTATTTTGAAAGTAAAAGATGGTCGTTTTTTAATTATAAAAGAGATGTTAAATTCTGATAAAAGCAATTTATTATCGATTTAAGTTATTATTGATATAAAAATTGTTATTATTATTATTATTATTATTATTATTAATACTGAGACAATATAACCGAAAAACGTAAAATATAAAAAATACATAGAAAATGTTACTCTTCGCTACAACAAGTACACAAACAGTCTGCTTTTTAAATCTGAATCAGTGGATAACTCAGTGAATCACTGATTCAGTGCCACTGTTAATTAATGAATAAAATGTGATATCCCTAACCTATAGCGAATCTTGCTTCAGTGTATAAGTGTAGTGCATTCAACGTATATGGTATTGTAAGATTGGAATTACAATGTGCTAAAACGTGCAAACATCGGTATTTTAACTATATAATGTTCAAACTCTTTTTCTTTTATAGTTGAATTTCACTAATTACTCAGTGTCAAATGTGCTAATATAATATGCTGATAATTCACTATCAAGTATGTCACTTCAGATTATCCACTGATTCATATTTAAAAAGTGTGTTTATCACTCATAGGTCGTAGGCATGACAAACATTCTTTCTTCATTGTTTTTTTTTTTTATTTTTACTTGAAGGACACACGCATGCATGCATGCACGCACGCACACGTACAATCCACTTAATACTCTTATGCTTATTTTTGCAATTTAATGCAAAAATATAAATCATAAATTTTTTAAATGAAAACAACACATTGGTCACATTTTGATTAAAAAAAAAACCGCTTTTTATGCGAATAGTTAAACTAACGGTCCGATTAAAAAACTAAACATTTCTATCGATAATTGAAGTTTTAAACCTCGAATCGATGGCAAGTACGTGTCCTTCCGACGCCAGGAAGATTTCGAAATATACGTGAAAGATGATACTTGAGTCATTTTGACCTACAGTGACCATGAAGGGTTAAGCTATCTTTATAATAATGATAAATTTAAGTAAGTTTTAATAAAATACATTATGAAATATAGTTAATTTAATAAATATAATTGATTCAAGCAAAAGCACTATTAATCACTGATGATCCATATAGCATGTGAAATTACATAAATTAGCGAGGCGTGAACGTGTAAAGTAAAATATTAGAATTGTGGCAGAAAAACGTAAGCAGTAAGACTTAAACCTCAATCGATTCAATCAATCATAATAAAGAACATAAGCAATAACATAAATAATAAAAAAAACAAATAAAAAAATGCTGATTTGCTTACTGTTTACCTTTTACTGCTTAGTAAAAGTGGATGTGCGGAAGCCTCCCTATCAATCTTGGAAGATATTTTTCGGAAGCCCATAACTGAGCTACTTTTTATTAGGTAATAAAAAAATTATTCCACATATAAATATAGTGCATAAAATAGTACAAAAAAATAGCAAATTTAAAGTTTTATTTTTGCAATATTAAGAATATGTGAATAACTTTCGAAAACTAACAAATATTCAGATCAATTATTAATTATCAATTATCTCAAATCAATCAATAATTAATTATTCAATATATTTAGACAAATTAAACATCGAAAATATATATAAAAAATTTTATTAAATTATTAAAAATTTTTAGATACTTTTAATTTAATTTTACAATAGCTAGGAAGAATCGTTAATAATTTTACTAAAAAATAAACAGTGATATTTAAAATGCGATTGAACATTTAGTTAAAAAAAATTTAAATAGGCTGGAAATTTGATTTTATGGTAAACGTAAATACAATATCATTAAACGTTAGTATATACCATAAACATTATATCTTTGAACAATTATATACTGTAAATATTACATAATACAGATATCTGTCTACACAATCAATTAAGCATTCCTCTTTAGATTTAACAAAATAGATTGAATAAAATATATAACTGCTGTAAACATGAATTGAATTATTTCCAGTAAAGAAAGAAAGTCCATATAATTTATAATTTAATATAATTATAGATACTCGTATATATAAATTGATGATCATACGTGATTAATTTCAGCTTCCAAATAACGATTAATATAGTTTTGGTCACAATGTCTACTGGTATCATATCTTCTGCAGCAATTTTATTTAAGTAGCTTACTCGTAGTAATCCTTTTCCACCAATAAGGAAAAGACCCATTGGACCATAAATGTTATCTATCCATCCTGGAAAAGGTTCGTCTAGCGATGGCCCCACTAAAATACAAAATACATTTGTAAATTAAATTATTAATATGTTAGATTATTAATAATTTAAAAAAAAAAAAGTATCTAAATGGTTAAAAATTAAAGAAATTGTAAAAGAAATAATTAATGAATCAAACATAATTCTAATAATTAATTAAGATAATTGTATTGATAAATTACAAATATTGTCCAAACGTTTCGATTTAAACCATTTTCAGAGAATATGACTAATTTGCAATAAAAACATATATATGTCGCTGGTCAATCGCTACAATGAAGGTTGTTTGATCCTATAGTTCTTCTTTATTGCAGATTAAACGCAATAATTTTTGTATCGCAATTTCTTTTTTTTTGTTCTTTTTTTATAGATTTAAAAATCCATTTCTAAAATTAAAGTATGAGCACATCTGATCCATATCTGAGAAATAAAATTTATAAATAGAGAATCGAAAAAATTTTTTTAATCGAGATTTTTTCGATCATTTCTTAGTCTAATATGACATTTAGAGCTGTGTAAGTCTTATTGAGTCAATAAAACAGACGACTTAGGAACCTCTTAATACGAGATGCAAGAATTATAACAGTTATTTATCCGCAGAAAGAATTAAATAAATCCACATGACATTCTAGCCATGGTTAATACATTTTAAAACTTGTGAAGAAATTTAGCAAAAAAGGTGAATGAATATTGTCGGCAAATTACTATAGGTGAAATAACAAATTGTGTGCGTGTGTGTGCGTGCACGCGCGCGCGCGTGCGTGAGTTTCCAATATATTTATCATCTTAATAAAATAACTATACTCTATTAGTACAAATACTTTATTCAAAGATAACATAAAATAAGAAATATAAAAACATCAGGCGTTCATATAACAATATTAAAATAAATATTTTCAGTAATTAAAAAACGTACCAATAGATGGTCTCACAATCGCACAAGGCAAGGAGGAAGAATATTCCTGTATTACACTCTCCGCTAAGTTCTTCGAAAAAATATATGTGTTGGGAGCATAATGCAAACATCTGTACATAATTTCAGATACACATAAAATTAAAAATTTGCACATTATTAATAAAGCACAAGATAAATAATAAAATAGTTAAAAAAAATTTGTTGAAAAAATGTTCTAGTATATGTATATCTATTTACATAAAATTTTCAAGCACATTTTTTGTTTTGTAACTTACTTAATCATGAAAATGTTCAAAGTATGCTCATCCAACGTCTCGGCTATTTCGATCATCTTCCGCCAATCAGCTATTGGTGGGTACACTTTTTCTTCTATGTATATTTTATTAAAATGTGCAAATGCTGTACTAATGTATACTAATGCCTTTAACAGATAAGAGCAATTAGTTATATTATTAAAAATATTTTTCTAAAATTATCTTCAAAAATTTAAGAAAGCTTTCGTAATAATTATTAGTTTAATTTATATTATCGATTTTGGAACATTATTTCAATCATGCAAATATTTTTATAAATTTATTACATTGCATTAAGCTTGAATTATTATTAAGCTTGAAAATTATAACACGCATTTAAAAAAAATTTGTAATTGAAATATCAATTATTATATAAAATATTAATAAGTAATAGAATGAATTATTTAAATATACTATCTCAGAAATTTTTTTTAAGTTACTTTTAAATTCTTCATATTTTGAGCTAAAATACAGACGTCTCTTGTTGCTCTGGTATTAATATATATGGCATCTTTTAAACTATTATTAAATTTCACATCCGCCGCTGCATGAATTATTATAGTTACTCTTTCAATCAGCATTTGTCTGTCCGCAACCGATAAATCTAATTCTTTCTCTTTGATATTACCAGAAATTGGAATTATTTTCTCAAAACGTGAAAAATGCTCTTTGCGCAATTTGTCATATAACTGCAATAAAAGAATATTATAATTTACAAAAAAAATCTTTCTTATAATAAAAGATTTGAAGTCATTTGTAATAAATTTGTAATAAAGAAATAGCATATTTAATAGCGTTTAAATCAACATTTTCTTTAATAATTTAAATCAATACTCTGTTTTAATAAATGCACTACAAAATCTTTTATTATATACTATTTACAAAATCTTAATATTAAAAATAATTTTCCTTATTAATAAAATTACAATAACATTTACAAAATGTTTTTCACCGCAGACATACACATTTAAATGTAATATTTAAATATAATATTATTATAAACAACTTAAAAATTAAAAAAAGTTGTTACAAAAATTGTTACAAAAAATTTTTCTTTTTATATTTAACTTACCGGTAAATTTAATAATTTCTCGAGTCTTTCATTCATAGTTAATTCTTTTTTAGAACGTATCAACAGAAATATTTCACGAACATCTGGACAAGATCGTAATATTTTTTCAATCAACATTTTTCCCAGAAATCCTGTTGCACCCGTTAAAAATATACTTTGTCCTGCATAAAATGCAGGAATCGTTTTAGATGAATCAACTGTCATCTTAATTATTATTTTTAAAACAATGGTAATATTAACCAGAATACTTAGCAATGTCAAGTGAAGTATTGAAACACTTGGAACTGTTACTTTTGTTATGAAAAGAATTGTGTCTAGAATTCAAACAAGTGTCTTTTACTGACGGACAATTGAATTGTAAGTATTTAATTTAAATTTTTAATCATTTTATAGTCTGTGGCTAGGGTCAAAGTCTCACTACAAATGCTTTGGTTGATTAAAAAAAAATCAATTAGAAAAAAAGAATTTTACAAATTTATTAATCAAAAATTGCTTTAAAAAGCATTTGTAACATCGCGTTGATCATATTCTGTGTACCAATCAAATTTTCGCCTGCATGCATAGAATACGGTGCAAGGAAAATCCGGATATAAATATTGGCTAAAGCAATATTTTTCGCAATAAATTATTCGCAGGTTTAAGATTCTTATTAACGTAAATTATTAATATTCTTATAAAGATGCTTATTACATCAAAAATTATTAAATTGTGTCTTAAGATTGAAAAAAATTTTAGCGCATTGTTTGCAAAGAGAATCAGATGTACATAAATTTATACAGAAATAGTAAACAATACTTGTAACAGTAATTGTATAATTGTAACAGTAATAAAAATTGAGTGGAAATGGTATAATAATAAGTTAAGCTATTCATGCAGTGTAGTTAAAATAATAATTTTCTGTTCTTTTTGGTAATATATTGACTTAATTATAGTATTATTGTCCGCGCAATGAAATTAGAAGTTTTTGACAACACAAGTATATGTAGTCAGTATTTTCAATATTTTTGCTTGCACAAATCCGTTTGCCAAATTTAGCTGTCACATTTTGAGAAAAATCATCGCAATTTTGAGAAAAATAGCGTTAATGAGGTAAAAACAATAATTAAAAATTTTTATAATATTGACAGCAAATATTTTTGTTTTCAAAATATTGCAAAATGAAAATAACTTTTTTTCCATGTAATAATAAGCATACAGAAAAAAACATTTTATTTCTGTATTATGAAACTAAGTGATTATATATACTTATATAATCACTTATTATATATATTGTGATTATATATACTTATATAATCACAGATCATATTAAGCAAAAATGATAAAATATAATGGCAGACAAATATATATAATTATAAAATATATTATAATTTTCAATAATACAAAATTATAATCTTCTCATTATAGTATTTTGTTAATTTCGTTTTTTGATTCAATAATGAAAATCAAGTTCAACATGTAATTTAAAGATAATTAAATCACTTTTCTAACAAGAACAATTATAAATTGCATGCCAGAAATAAAAAAATATTAATATTCTTGAGGCTTCCACGGATGCTTTCTATATAAAGATGACGCGTTTCTATGTAAAGATCAGGCTGCTCCTCATCTTGATGAAATGGACTGCAAGATTCATGAAACGTTGGCATTCCAAGAATGGATCTGGACACAAAAGAAATCCGCGAAAAATGCATAATCTTTATAAAAATTATTAAATTTTATATAAATCTTTTTAAGATTTTTTTAAGTATTAAAGAATACTGCAGTTCACAATTGCTAGACACTCTTTCTAAATCTCTCACTATATACTGCATGTATATATACATTGAAAGCAATAAGTAATGCTGGATTATTTCTTTCTCACTGCACATATACGTTTACTTGTTATTAAATCGCTTATGAGCATTCATTTGCAGATCTTTATTAATTAATTTCTTATTAATAATTATAAAAATTGCAAAATGGAAGAGAATTTTTATTTGTTTAACCGCAAATTTCTATTAAATAATTATTTTTAATTACTAATTGCTAAAAAGATTACAACAAGAAAGGATCTTTCTGTTCAATTTAACTAGATCGCTTCACCTGTCTATGAAAGGTGCTACAGTTATTACCAGATATTAGATGTTCCGATATAATCGATATTTTGAAATATCATATCATTACTCCTTTTGATATTTGATATTTGCATCGAAATTTACTTTTCGCATCGTAGCATCGAATCTAAAATGTATAGATATCAATTGAGTCGATAAAAAAGTTACATTTCCAAAATTTAACCGCATAAATATATAAGGATATATATATATAGTCAATTCGGGGATAGTTTATGACATCGCGATCAACGCCATCATGATATAATAAAATTAAAAGAAATTTTATGTTTTACATTATCTTTGTTAGTTGATAGACTTATATGTATTGTATAAAATGACAAATATATGTATTGTATAAAATATATAAATATTAT